AATAAAAAGTTTAATTAATAATATCCGTTATAGAGAGAGATTTCAAATAGTAAAAAATCGGGACCAAACTTTTAATCTGTTATAGAGAAAAATCCGTTATAGAAAGATCCGTTATAGACAGTGTAGACTGTAGATATTATAATCAAATTGATATGATTATTAAAAAATACCTTACACCACGAGTTTTAAAAATGCAACATCAACAAATGAATGAAAGCTTACTTTATCATGCTAGTAAAATTGAAGGTTGGAAAGAATTACTTAATCATAAGGTAACAATTAAAACAATTAAATAATAAAAATTTTTTTTTTAATTTATTTTTAATAACATATAAATATATAATTCCAATAAGGAAACAAATAATTATGAAGAAATTGAATCCAATAACAATGAGCAAGAAGATACAAGAGAAAAGGTTAATAACATGGAATTTGCTGAAGATAACTATGAATCAAAGATATCAAATTTGGATTCTTTGGTTGCATATATCGATCAAGACAGCATCCATGAAATTTGGAATGTTACAACTATTGAACAGAACAAGGAGCATTTTGTAATTGCATATGGAAATGCTAACCATTTATGCACATGCATGCTTCTCATAACAAAAGGACTGGTTTGTCGACATTTTTTCTCAGTATTGCTCAAATCAAATAAAGCCATGTTTCATATTGGTCTCATCCCATCCAGGTGGTATAATGATATAACATTAGATACTCAACAAGAGGTTGCAATTACAGTTGGTAAGAATAATTATAATGATGAATTTGCATGTAAACACAAAATTAACACAAGCTTTGATGGATTAAATAAAATTCGTTACACACAAGAATTCTCAGAAACTGTCAAAAAAAACTTGTCTCATAAAGTAAAATATAATCAAGGCTTTGGGTATGCAAAGAAAGCAATTAATCTTGCTCTTGAAATAGGTTGTGAAGATGAGTTAAATACACTTTTACAGCATTGGATTAGAGATAAAGAAAAGGGGATTCATGACCAAAATGAGAATGAGAAAAATCTGCCAAATATCACCAATCCTTACAAGACACGAACAAAAGGATTTATGAAAATATTAATTTATAACATAACATACCAAAATCCAAACCATTTTATGACTTTTTCTTGTTGGCCATATTGCTGACGAAGATGTATATAATCATGTGATAATTTTAACCTACAAGACAGGGGGACTGATTGGGCAAAAACCCTGTTCAATCCCCTATCCAAAATTATAAATTGGTTAGAATCAAAAAAACAAAGAATTTAGGAAATGATTATACAAAACAAACACTATTTACAACTTTCCTCTTAACATCAGAGTCCAAATGCAATTTCAGGGGCACAAACCCTGCTCTGGATTGTGACCTCCTGTGCTTGAAACAAATTGCAGATTCTTGTTGCTTTGATGGATCTGGATATTTACATGGCACTACAATTCATCAGCAGAGTTGCAACTTGGTCACAGTGCCATCCTTACCTAGAGGTAGGATCGTTGCAGGCAACTTTTCAGTTAGCATGCCAGCAGCCTTCTCTGGTCTGGGAAGATTATCAAGTGTCATTGACAATTGATGCAGTCTCAGTAAACTCCAGGGCCATGCCTCATCCCCCCGGAATTCTGTAGCATTGTTGTATCATTGGGCGGTGCAGGTCAGATTAGCCTTATGTATACAAGGAAGATGTGAGAATGACTGTAATGTGTTCAAGGTAGTGTGCGTGCTTCAACACTTGCCAATTTCTGATAATCAAACATCGCATATTGAAATGTTTCATATTCAATGGTGTGCTGCCTTGACATCTTGTAATTATAATAATATAATATTATTATTAATATTATTGATTATGCAAAGCAAAATACCAAACGTTCGTTATTGATGAGAAATTTATAATTACTCCAACAATGATCTGCTCTGCGTTTTGATTCCAATTAAAATGTTTAGATAAAATAAAAGACACCACATTATATCAATACAAATAAAAAATAGTACCTCTGGTTAGTTATTAACACGTTTTCTTTAGGAGACCCAAACCAAACAACAACACTCACATTTTGTCACCTTGGACTCTGTCAAAAAATAAATTGTTTTTTTGTTTTTCCAAAAAAAAAAACGCGTCAGACCAATAGGATAAATAATTAATGTGTACATGTCGATCATATAACATCATATAACAAGCTTTTCTTTTTTTTAAAAAAAAAAAATATAAACAATGAAAAGAAGATATAACCAACAAAGTAAGGAAAATAATAATAAATCTACATATGGGTAAGTGTTTTAAGGATGGTGGTGGTGGTCGCCACTCAACGTCACTCTAGTTTGTAAAAAAAAAAACAGTTCTACCAGCACCAAAACTGTAAGTAAATGACATTCTTTTCAATACATTGGTTTTACTGTTTTTAAAAAGTAAATTTAACTTTTAACTTTTAATAGTATATAAACTTGCTCGCCAAAGAAACAATTGATAAATTAGGTTCAATACATGGTTTAAATTCCATAACAATTGAAGGTATAATTTACAATGAAGAAGCATCTCTACATCTTGTAGAGTCTTCGTTGGAAAATTTTTTGAACATTTTTAATAGATACAACAACAACAATAATAATGACAATGGCAATATTGATGATAACATTGATGACGTTGGCAATAATAATAATCATGATAATACCATCGATGATGACGATGATGAAAACGATGAAAATATATACAATAATACCATTGGCAATAATAATAATCATGATAATACCATCGATGACGATGATGAAAACGATGAAATTGGTAATAATGATAATACCATCGATGATGATAATACCATCGACAATAATAATAATAATGATAATAGCATCAATGATGACGATGATGAAAACGATGAAAATATATACAATAATACCATTGGCAATAATAATAATCATGATAATACCATC